AGGAAAAGCCAGTGAGTGCAGTATGTATAGCCACATCTGAGCTGCTTTTATATGTAGCACACTCTGAAAAATTTAAAGATTCTAAAGAGATCATATTTAATTTAACTCAAAGAGGAAACTCCCAGACAGAGAGTATAAACATACCTTTGTCAGTGTGGCTCTTCCTCTCTCCTTAGCCACCAGATGCACACACTGGCTGAGGAGGTCCTGCACTCTGCCTCCCGCTTCACTTACAGGGGAAAATTCTTCCTGTTCCAAAAGTACTGCAGTCACAGAAATGCAAGTTCTCTTCACAGAAAACTTCTAGCGTGCTATTTTGTGTCTAGCAGAAGCGACCAACATGCTACTGGACACACGCAGGTAGAAAAGAACCAGATGAGAATCCCCAAAGCAGGGACGGACAAGATCTGAAATTAGCTCACATTTTTTAAAAAAGGAAGAGAACTCCCCACCAAATCCAGCTTAAGACGTTGTTACTCTGACACCACAGGAGACAGGCACTGATGGCAGACAAAAAGGGGAAGTTTCTCCAGCCACTACAGATGACTAATACCAAATACCAGTTCCCCAGAGCTGTGACAAGAGGGAACAGAAACAGCATGTGCAGAGTGCCAGGACCTCAGCTGTGCTTATGGAGCAGACCTAATCCTCCTGCTCTTGTGAAGCCTACAGCAGTCATCTTGTTCCATGTGCTGGGAGGGCTTAGGGGCAAGCTGGATGTGCTCAATATTATAGCATGATGTGAAGAGCTAAGAAAAGCAAGACTCCTTTTAACAAATCTTTTGCTGTTGATGCAAGTTTCAGGTGCTCTGTCATTACAGTACACACTGCTCTTGCCCACTTACCAATGCCAAGGAAGGGGATCCTTTTGACCTCCACAACTACAAACACCTTTGAAGGTTATTCCTCCTTCCCATGCCTACCTGCGTAAGAGCTGACATTTCAAAATGACACAAAATGCCAGCTGTCTGGTTCCAGCTGAGCTCTGCTCACGCGAGATCAGCCGATGAGGGAGAGAGCGGCTGTTATTAGGCTCGTGTGTCTTTGGTCCTAGGATGAGCTGCCAAGAACACAGAGGCAGTTCTGGCTGCTAGAAGTCCCTGAGAGGTTGTGAGGAGCAAGCTGCGAGACCCCGTATGGTGCAAGAGCCCACATTGTACTAGAGACTCGCCTGTGCAGGGGGCAGTGCAGTCAGAGGAGCTTGCACAGCCCGAACGGGGAGATTAGCTCAATAGGAAGGCAGGATCTAGCCCCAGACTCTGTTCGTTGCTGCTAGGCATTTAACATAATGGGGAAAGATTAATGATATTTATCTGACATAAGTGGAGTAAAGCAAGGAACTAATACTATTGAGTGAAAACAGATGAAAAAATCTATTATTCAGTGATATGTTCTCTGCTTAGCACCATTCAGAGGTAGTGCACACATGCAGCATTATTTAGAAAATGTAAACAAGACAGTTTGAACATCACACAGACCCCTTTTCTGAAAACAAATCAGTGTGGAGCTGTGCACTTAACTGGCACGCTCACTTACTGAGAGTACATGCTTTTGGCCAATGTTTCTCCACAGTTGCTTTCCTTGTTTTCAATTGCCTTTTCACATCCAAAGCTGATTTCAAACCAGATTTACATTTGGCCTCAATCTAATGCAAGGTTTTTGTAATCAACAAAATTAAAAGCTTTTATTGTCATTCACAGTTTGCTGAGAATTAAGGATTGCAACATTCTTCCATTTCTCTTCCATGATGTATTTCTGTAAAAGCTCTGATTTTGCCTCTGAAATGCATTTCCTAGTGACTGTGGTGTACATAGACTGTTGCTCAGTAGCCACTCCAGTAGAGAATACAAAAGATGATTAAAAAAATTGAGGTTCAGACCCTTATTTAAGTTAAACCTGAAGTTAGTTCCTGGTAGAAAAGTAAGCAGAACGCAGAAACCCTCCACAACTGACAACTGAAAAGGAACACCTCAAAACATTCATCTTTAATCGACACATTTTTCATTCTCGCAGGGTTTTCTTTTAAAGAATTATCCCGGGAATGCCACGAATAGCATTAAGCAAAACTTATTTGTGTTGCATCTGGTTTAGCCCTTTATTTATTTATATTTTACCTGAAAATGTTTCTTCTTAAAGACCTTATAACAATGATTTCTGCATTATCATTTGGTTCTCCTCTTCTCTGGATATTAGCCAGGAAAAGGAATTCCCAGTCTGTAACAGACAGATTAGTTCACACATTTTAATTTGTACACATAGAAAAAAGCAGTTTCTGGATCATTGAGGCATATGGATTATGAACAAGACACTCCAAAAACTAACTATCCAGACGGGGAGATTCTTACAAAAATCTTTTTATGTCAAAGTCAGGATTTCACAACAAAACATGCTAATGCAAAATCCAGTAGCACCTGAAAGGTTAAGGTAGCTGCTGCTATCACTTGCACATACTTGGATACTTGGAAAAGAGTTCAGAAAAAAATAAAAAGTACATTCTCCAGAGGACAGCAAGTATACTTCCAAATATTTTTTTGAATTTTCTTTCCTTTGTTTTGTTGGGTATTTTTGTTAGTTTAGTTCAGTTTTTTGTTCAGTCTTTTCAATTCTTTTGCCTTTTTTTTTCCTGTACGACTCCATACTTGCCACGTAACAAGTTATGCAAAACATAGAGGACTGCTCTCCTCTACAGGGCAAATTCACACAGGCATTTTCAGGGTACAGTACTCAAAACTCTTCTGGCATACATATATATACTCATCTAAAGAAAATGCACAATATCTGTCCCTGGGAAAAGTCACGTTTCAAAAGGGCAGATCAAAGTAGAGAAGCTACATTAGGTATAGCCACCTAAATATGAAGTTTGGATTAAAATTTCCAAACACCTACCTACTTTAAATGAATGTTTAAAGTACTCTTAATAGTAGGATGTTATTTATATGTGCACGGATGTCCACCTTATCCCATATATATCTGTCTGATGACTATTTGGGAATTCAAAGGTGCAGCCCTCAGCAATTGTATTATTTTAAAAAGTGAAATGAAGCATCTCTACTGCATGAGAAAAGAAATTCTCAAATACCAATTTCCAATTTTAAATTTAATTTCAATAGGAAAATATTAAAAATGTGCACATCTAAATTTTTCCATGTTCTGTAATATATACATATGTGTGTGTACGTATACATAGAAATACTCATGTACCACACATATACACAAAATTTAAGTGGAAATATTTTTGTCCACTATTCTCCCACATGTAAATGACATCATATCTTTAAAAATGTCAATAGTTTCATTAAAAATAATATTACATTTATTCCAGCAGCAACTTTCTATTGTTTTCATTCTTTCTTCCTCCCGATTACGTCCACTGAGCACTAGTTGGCCAGATTCTCCATACACTTCCACAAATGTGACACCAACCAAATGTTATTGACATCACTAGGGATACATCTGGTCTACAGCAGTGCAAGTGACAGAAGAATCAGGCCCAAATATTCTCAGGTAAATCAAAGCCCGGCAGCATCTTCTCACCTGGATCTGATGAAGCTATACACATCACCATCTAAAATCCACCAAATAAAAACAGGCAGCTCACCACAAAGTTTTCAACCAGTAGCATGCTGAACCAAGCTCCCCTCGCCCCTTCAATAAATAAAATAGGTGAGAAAATGCCCTAAAAATATGAAGGAAACATAAATATTGTGTACATTTCATACAGTATAATACATGACGGTTTAGCATTTGCCCTAAACCATTTTCCTGACTAGTCAGGAGACACCTGATAAATCACTGGTAAAGAAAAGAAATGTACTTTAGAAATAATGCATGTATTTCTAATATAAATGAGAACTTGTGTGTATTATATGATGTATACATACAGTACACACATAGCAACAAACCTATCTTTTCTACTTTTGAATAGCAGTCTCTAAGTGGAGAAAATCGTATTATACAAATTTAACAAGCAGCTAGATTTCATGTCTAACATTCAAGTCAACTTGGGGAGCAAACAAAGGTGAGTGCATCCTTCGACTCTCAAGTCTGACACTCATTCATACATTTTTAAAAAGCCCTCTTCAACATTACAAGCAATTTATGGCAAGAATGTACTTTGATGCAAGACACATGACACTTGGCTTACCTTTCAAAGAATTTTTTTTTTAAAATAAATCTATTATATAAAGAAACGCATGTTTGCCAAAAGTCTGTTAAAATTACATCAAAAGAACTTTAAAACCTGCTCACTGAGGATAACTGAATTCAATTTCCTGTTTTTAAACATTGAGTTAACAGTTCAAAATATTGCCTGGTGTAGTTTCAATCAAGGTGTGATATGAAGACCCATAAAAGAGTAAACATGTCTCCATTTCAATTTGCTATGACAACAAAACTTCTAGAAACAGCTTTCTCAGCTGGACAAGTTCAAAGCATGAGTAATCCCTTGCAAAATTCTATGTCCTTAATGATATCTATTATAAACAGTGCTCCCCATAAGCCATTATTCACAAAATCTGAAATTCATGTGACATAACGAAAAAGTCTCCTGCAAAACATGTTAACAATTAATTGAATATATATATTTGATATTTAATAATACCAGAAAATAACTCACTATTTCTTTTTGTCTGTGCAAGTCAAATTTTACATTTAAAATTCCTTTTTTTTTTCTTAGGGAACTCACCTGCCTTCATTGGTTGGCTTCAAAATATATAGCAAAGTGGAAGATAGTATCTCACTGTAATTACATGGAATTCGTATGAAAAAGTAAACCTTACACTGGACAATATTGTAGAACACCAGAGTAAACTTCATAAAGAAATACGTTGTCTTCCAGTATATATATATATATGTATATATATTAAAAAAAAACCCAAACAAACAAACAAAAAAAAAGAAAACAATCAAAAAAACACCAAGGAAGAACTTTATACAAGCAGGTATAGTTACTTTGTTTCAATTAAAGATGCAACTCTCTCTCACTCCTGGCAAGAATAAATTGGTAACAGCACTGCTTCTCAACAGTGCAAAGTATCCTGAGAAATTATTAGGATTACAACAAAATACAGGGCTGTCATCACTAAGTTTTTGCACAAAACACAGCAATCAAATATCTTAAATAAATAAAACAGCAGATAACTTATAGTGTCTAAAACAAAAAGGGGATGTGACCTGGGACACTGCTAATTCTTCCATCACTAATAATCAGAAAAGGATTGCATTCAATTACTGTTAATATCTCTCAAGTTATCTATGGCCAATAATGTACACGGAGGTAATTTGTAGTTCAAGTTTTTTTGTGTGTTTTTTTCTTCAACTAGCTACACGCTGAGTTCTAAATTTTACACTCAAATGTGATTCAAATTTCAAACAAGCCCTCTTAGAGGAGCATTTCCTAATTTTGTGCAACTTTGATGCAGAGCCCAACACAGTCCTATGAAGAGAGACAGTGCATCTTTAAGCTCATTGGCACTGAAATCCCATTTCCTTTAGCTGCATTCTATTAGCTTGGCCAAGTTATCTCGTAATTCTGTTAGTTCAAATATTTTTCCATCAAGAATTTCTAAAAGTGTCTTCAAGTTATTGCGAAAAGCTTCTTGCTCATTCTGACTTTTCTCCAGACGTTGCTCTAGATCAGACAGCTGTCCTTCCAGGTCTTTGTTTCGAATTTCTACTTCCTTCAGAGAAAATACATAATATGTTAATGTGTTGTCTATAAATAGAAAGCAGTCTACCCTTCTGCTGGCATTCATGTGCTACTTGGTCAATTCTGCTTTTTAAAAAAACTTGTGATCCTTCAATGCTTCCACTAAACCAAAATCAGATTTTGAGGTTTTGTTAAGATGCAATCTGTACTCTCTGAAGTATCTCATTTCTCCCATCTTTCCATTAATTTCCATGAATTCGTCTAAAGAACAGAAACTTTCAGATATGGATAAAGTCAGTGACTTGCTCCGGGGTATAGTCCATATTAAATGGTCTCATAAATTGCAAACATTACTGCTTTATGTGGGAACGAGCACTGCCTTAGTACCGCCCCGCACTATATGCCTTTTCACATTGAAAATTACAACTGAAATACAAACTAGCTATACCAATCACAAGGTGAAATCAATTGTATCAAATTTAAAAGCGCCAACACTAGCTGAGTATCTTGTCTCGGCGGGTTAAATCTTTCAAAGTTCCTCTGCTCTGAAGCACCAGTCCACAGTTCAACTGCTGCCAAAGCACAAGAGAGTATGTGAATTAACAGTGAGCTTCTGTATATAGAGGCTGTTCTAATGTAACACATGCAAAGATGAAGTAGCAGCATTTGGAAGGCAGCTGCTGGGATCTGACACTGAGCACATCCTGCTCGCTTTCATGGGGAAGAGAAGTCCATGATCACTGTGAGTACGAGCACAGAGCCACTTTGCCTGGTGCCAGCTCGGATGAGGGGGAGCGCTGTGTGCTGGGGCCGCTCGCAATGCTGGGCTGCATATCAAACAGAGGCGAGGCTACAGTTGCTCTCATTTATGTCCCCTCTCTTATGGCAGATTACCAGTATAGCTGGTCTGGAAGAGCATGCTGCTATTTGCATTTGCACTTGTATATTTCCTAATTTCATAATGAATTTTCTAATTTCAATTATGAAAAGCACTTGAGAAGACAGCACAGAGACCTTGCACTTTGTATGCCATATACTTTTAGCAGTCATTTTCTTGAGATGTCTATAATAAATCAGTCTTTATGTACATTACCATTTTTAATCACCACTTACCTTTATAGCAGCCCTTCGTGCCACAAATGACTATTATTAAATTGTATTTGGAGCTCTTAATGGAGCTGCCATGAGCTTCTACAACAGCTTGTTTCATCCAGGTGCTAGAGAGGGCTATTTGGCATTGTGCTGCCAGGGTTTCCTCCTGTTACAAACAACTCTCCTTTCTGCCCTCGTGCTCTTCAGCTCTTATAAATATTTTATTCTTCTCTCTTCTTCAAAGTGAATGCACAAATTTACACTGGAGGGCATGGCATGAGACACCCTGACCCACACAGAATATGTACTGGGGCAGCCTGTATTTGACAAATGTAAAAAGGCAGCTTGGTGCCATGGTCAATTGTCTAAAATGTATTTCCACTTGCGAGGGGTGAGATGGCAGTGTGGATCTGCTCCTGTACCTTTGGGCAGATCAGCAATAAGGCGACCTGGCCAATGCCCTGTGCTGGCTCCCAGTGCCCATCACAGGGGTGAGCTCTGGGACCCGGTAGGTGGAAAAGGCAGCGAACATGAGGGAACCATAAAGGAGCAGAGAAGCACAACCTTTATGAGCTGTGGCAAGGCTGGGAGCCAGGCCTGATCTTCTGCCCAAGAATCCTAGCGGAACCAAGGGTTACATCCAAACTAATCTGGAACACTTCATTTGCTTCTTGTTTGTAAATGGACTAGATAAAAATCACTGTGTTTTGATCAGTGGCCTTGAGGAGCACAGCTGAAAGCAGGAATTGCCCCTTGCTTCCAGGTTCAACAAAAGAATTACTTTAATTGGTTTAATATAGAATAACATAGTTGTGGATGCATTAAAGGAAATTAATTGAAAAAGAAACAACATAAGTTAAAATACATTTACTTCCATAATGAATAACTAGCCCACAGTGGCTACAAGGGAGCAACTGTAACTGAGGTCATATCTCCTGCAGGTTCTCCTCCACTGCACCTACTCTTGCACTTCCAATTGAGGATTAGACAAGCCCTAAACTGACTGCACAAAATCAAGATCCATTGTGGCATAACAACTGTAACAGGGGCTAAAAAGGGAAATTTAGGGAAATGTCAGCCCTGGAATAATGAGTCATTCCTTTCTTTGGTCACACATTACTGATGGCTGTTGACCTTCCCTCATGCTTCCTGCTTCTGCTGTCAGCGCTTCTCTTCTGCTCACCAACCTTACATGCCTGGGAGTTCTCCTTGTCACCATTCTTACCAAGGGATAATTAATTACTGTAAGTAGGGAAGCCAGTGATAAAAGGGATTATTTTACAACAAATCCATGGATATGAATGTTTTATGTGGTGACATACATACCATCTTGGTCTGAAGAACAGCACATTGCCCTGTATCTAGCACTGAACATCATCTTTCCCTCCATAAATTCTTTTAAACTTAGGAATTGATCTGCTGCGAGGTGTTAGGGTTACATCAAAGTTAAAACTTTGAGGTAACAAAGTTTTTTGTTACATCAAATAAACAACATCAAAGTTAAAAAAAATCACATAAAAAAAGAATAGCTTTATTCTAAATCTAGTAAATTCTTTATCCATATTCAGCATAAGGCTTTTCCTTCTAATTCTCCAATACTGTTGCTTGCCCCCTGTCCTTCCAACTATATGAATTCCTTTCTTCCGTTTGCATTTCCAGCTTTTGTTTGCCCGTAGTAGTTTATCTTTTAAAATTAACAACTTATAGAAAATAGGATTAACTAAAATATGCCAGAAGTTTTTGCTCTTAACTTCTGGAAAAATCCAGTTTCTACATTAGATCTTTACACATGTGTATCCCAGATTAGTACTAGTGATCTTTGCAATGGCATTGCATTACAAGTTCATATGCAGTTCAGGCACAGTCTATTATTACAAGTCATTCTGCTTTAGAATTGTTATTTTTTGATGGGAAACAATGAAGAGCTGTTCAGGCAAGGTATTCTGTTCCTCCACTTTTGTCATTTCACTTCATTTGCGATTAATCTCGGACAATAATATAGTGACTCTTCTAATACATTCAGTGCCTTTAGGTTTATTTTATGCTGTTTTGTTCAGACCTCTCTGTGGGCATCATTTTTTCATATACATTTCCTGTATATTTTCTTCACTTAAAGAGACATAAATTAGTAACATGATTGTTGTTTTTTACACTGTAATAAGCTCTTGTAAAGATCAGTGTGAGGATAAGAATAAAATATTCAAACTATAGAGAACAGCTATGTTTTGGAATCTGCCACAGCTACCCTGATTCATGGAGAGTCATACTGCTCATGACTCACTGATATGTGTCTGCTCTACACTGCTAATGAAATTATTAGGTAACAAGGGCCTCAATACTTACCCTTCCCTGTGATAACACACTGCTCCTCACTGGAGTTTACCACTGATGGGTTTCTAATTCATTGTTACACGAGTGTGTACACGAGAAATGCAGTACACCTTGATATAATGGTTTCTTTGTGGTTTTCATACAAGCTGAGTTCCAAAATATTTTTAGAGTTACATAATCTATTTTCAAACACAAGAGGGAAAAAGTAAAGCTTAAGAAAAAACAGGAGGACGAATAGATATGGACCCTGGAGACAACCACTCTGAAAACAAACGATGAGTCAACTAAGTGAACAGATGTGGGATGGTTAATCTAGAGCTATAGAAGGAAACGCTATTGCCCAGACGCTACAGATAGAGGGGAAAGTGGCTCAGAGAAGGCCAGTGTTATCAAAGCAGAGAGAAAACAGCAGTAAGCAAAGATGTAAAATCTTCTACAGTGGTTGCCTCGGGACAGTAATAAACTTTAAGATGAAGAAAGGCAATTTTTAACTTGGATTTGACAGCTTTAAACTTTGTTTTGTATAGAAGCATTTTGAAAAATTAAGTTATTACTCAGAGCGTAACATATGGACATGCATATACACTATATTCACTTAGCTACTAAAGATATAAATATACAAAAAAATAAAGCCAGTAGACTCTGCAAAGTGTAATTTTTAACATTCTAAAACATCTTCAGTCTTTTACTATTCTCTCATAATTCTGTTTACTAAAGATGGCTGGTTCCCCGCTCATTATTACATTTCTTGTGATCATATACTGCATTTATTGTATATGCTACTGTTAGATCAATCTCCAACTTTTCCCTTTTGGAATCTCTCAACTAAGTTCCTTATGTGGTTTTGAGGGCTAAAATGAGATTGAAGGAAGTCTGAATTTACAAAACTGATTAAAAAGGAAATCTGCATAATAATTTTATGCTGTGGATTGTCTGATGAAGCTTGTTTTTAGCACGATTTAGGTTGAGCCTTGGAACAAGGCTAGTCATCTTTAAGCACTTTAGATTTCCAATTACTTACAGATTCACAGATTCACAGAATATTTAAGGATGGAAGGGACCTCTACAGATCATCTAGTCCAACCTTCCTGCTCAAGCAGGCACACCTACAGCATGTGGCACAGGGTGGCATCCAGGCGGGTTTTGAAGACCTCCAGAGTAGGAGACTCCACAACCTCCCTGGGCAGCCTGTTCCACTGCTCTGTCACCCTAACAGTAAAGAAGTTGCTCCKCACCTGGAGACGGAACTTCTTGTGYTTCAGCTTGTGGCCATTACCCCTCGTCCTATCGCTGGCCACCAGTGAGAACAGCTTGTCCCCTTCCTCCCTGCATTCTCCCTTCCTGAACTTATACATATTAATCATATCCCCTCTGAGCCGTCTCTTCTCCAGAGAAAACAGGCCCAGCTCACTCAGCCTCTCTTCATACAAGAGATGTTCCATTCCCTTAATCATCCTGGTTGCCCTTCTCTGGACCCTCTCCAGAAGCTCCACGTCCCTCCTATACTGGGGAGCCCAGAACTGCACACAGTACTCCAGGTGCGGCCTCACCAGAGCTGAGGGGCAGAATCACCTCCCTTGACCTGCTGGCAACACTCCTCCTGATGCAGGCCAGGATCCCATTGGCCTTCTTGGCCACGAGGGCACACTGCTCACTCATGGTTAACTTAGTGTCAACCAGGACTCCCAGGTCCCTCTCCGTGGAGGTGCTCTCCAGCAGGTCCACCCCTAATCTGTACTGATGCCTGGGGTTATTCCTCCCCAGGTGCAGGACCCTGCACTTGTCCTTATTGAACCTCATGAGGTTCCTCTCTGCCCAACTCTCCAGTCTGTCCAGGTCCCTCTGGATGGCAGCACAGGCCTCCGGAGTGTCGGCCACTCCACCCAGCTTGGTGTCATCTGCAAACTTGCTCAGGGTGCATTCCGTGCCCTCGTCCAGGTCATTGATAAACAAGTTGAACAGCACTGGGCCCAGCACTGACCCCTGGGGGACACCACTGGCCACAGGCCTCCAACTGGACTCGGCCCCATTTATCACCACCCTCTGAGGTCTGCCATCCAGCCAGCCCTCGATCCACCGCACCGATGTCTGACTTAATGTCTGAGTTTCCAGTTGTGGCCTAACCCTGAAGTCTGAACATAAAGTTTAAATCCATCTGAATTTTGGGTCAGAAGGCTGGTGTTTCCCAAGGAAGGGATCTCCATGTTGGCTAGGTAGCCCAGTGACTAAAGGAGAGAGGTTCAGTTGTAGTGACTCACTGAGTGGAAGGCTCTGCATGCTGTTTCTTAGAGGCTAAAGTATCTAGCTTTACACACAGTAAAAAAACAACCCAGAACAACAAGAAAAATGGGATGATTCTAAGTAATTTCAAGAAAATGTCAAATGTGGCTTTTAAAGCCTGTATTACACAAGAATGCTTTAACCTTTACCTTATCAGCCTATGTTGAAAAGCTAACTACAGACTCATTCCAAGAGGATGATATGATGCCTGACAGATCAGTGGCACAGCAGACCTGTGGGAACGACACTACTGTGAAAATGAGATCCAAACTGCCCAGAATATGTATTAATGAAGGACACACGCTAACAAGAGAAGATTAGGTGGAATTCTAAATGAGACTGGAGACTCTTTCCTCAAGAAAAAAATACCACCTTACAACAGGTGGAAATTGCAGTACAAGTACCAGAGGAGCGTCCTCCCGCAACGCTTTGCAACACAGTTGAACTTATTTATCTGGCAACATCTGTAAAGAGACTATCAGCTGCTCATGTGAAGTGCTCACTTGCTGATCATTTTTCTCTTCTAAATAAATAAATACAATGCTCACCTGTAACTTCTGGGTCAGAGAATCCCGCTGCGCCTGGAGCTCTCTGGCATTCTCAATTTCTTGTTTTAATCTTTCTATTTCCTGGGTGAGAAGAAAAGATCTCTTCAACATCACCTTACACACCTCATACAACTCAGCACAGGTAGCTTCTGCTCATGCTTCTCCTGACCAAACTATTCCAGTGACACCAAAACCACTATTGCCTAACACGGCAATAAGCTCTCCTCCCCATATTCTTGCATTTCAGTCCCAAAAGAACAATTCCAGGGTGAATAAACAGTAAAGATAAGCATTTCATTTGCTATAAAAGTCCAAGACTCACTCCCACACAAAGGATCTGCATATTTTTTTGGGTGGAAAATTAAGGGTGCTCATAATTACAGAAAAAATGTTATACTTTAAATTCTATTTTAATCCACCCTTAAGGATCTTTTTCAAGCCAAAAATCCAATTTTCATCTGTGTGCTGCTTATTATGTCACTAGCAATGGGCATAAAAAATCGTCTGCTTTTACCACTGATTTCTATAAAAGGAGTCTAAAAGAAATGGTATTTTTAATTTAGGAAGCAGAAAGTAACAAAGCATAAAAATAACACACTATATGAAATAATGAATAATGGAAGAGAACTTTGCTTGGCTTACCTTGAAGAGAAAATAACAAAACAGCTTATGAAACTAAAAAGCTAAAGTACTTTCCCAAAGAGGGGTATATTTAACTCCTAGAATTTCTTTCTGAAAGATATCTTTGTGTCCAACAGTTCAGCATAATTCAAAAGAGCACCAGTACTGGCAACATTCACACCTAGATACTAATCTCTTAAGTGTGAGGGAGTCTGGAGAAGGTTTTTCTTTTTGGGAGAAATTCTTTACAGTTACTGTGTTTCCTGAATCCTCCTCAGAAACAGCAGCCTAACAGCCTGTGTTGGAGACAAGAAGTAGATACAGACATGCTGCTCATCTTAACAAACATATCTATGGCGGCTGTGATTCAGAAAAGGTAAGAATAAATGTTAGCAAATACCTCTTCTTTTTTCTTCAGGGTAGATTCTAATTCCTGTATTGTCTGGTTTAATTCTGTTTTATGTGTGTGGACTGCATTGGCTTGACTGCTCACACACTCTAGCTCCGTCACCTGTTGAAATAAGGAGAAGCAAGACATACAGGATTCATAGACAGAATTTCAAGGTACTACCACTTCTTTGGATACCTCGCTGCATTTGGGAAAAAAAAGCCATTAATTCAGAGTGACATACATTATTAAATTGGTGAGGATGTTTCTATGAAGTTAGCATAAAATTCCTTAACAAATTATTTTGCATAAAATGGTTGCTATGACTTCTAATGTTTATTGTAATATTCTGGAAATAATATACTTAATATGTTGCTGTTTAAAAGAACATTAATTAAAAGTTATACTTACTAATTATTGAAAATTTTATGGAAGAAGCTGAATTACCATTTCAGAACCAGCAATGCCTAAATGATTAACCACACATCTGTCAGTTTAACTAACCTCTCCATCTGACACTTTTTAATGTTGCACCATCTTAATAAACGAAGCCACAATGCTCACTCACTTCCTAGCAAGCCAATTAACATTTCAGAGCCTCAATTTCTGCCTCTGCATCCACAATGTAACAGCAGATAGTTAGTTACCAGTGTACAGCTGCCAACTGCTTTCTTGTCTCGTTCCGTATCTCTTCTCTCAGTTACAAAGCCAACAGCTAATGGCACAATTTGGGCTTGTACAGCTCCTCTTTATTAGCAGGCAGCTTGCTATCTCCATCTGCCCTTGGAGAAGATAACCTACCTGGCAGTGGTATGCTTTTTTTTTCTTTTATTTTTTAACTGAAGAGATGTTAATATGCCTGCTATTCACAGATAAATGATCATTTAAAAACAGCTTGTGCACCAGTGAAATAAAATTCATGCAGCAAAAGCTCATGTAGAAAAATCTTTGTTCAGGTATTAGAGTACTTTCACACTGCAGGTCTGCATGGATGTCTGCACTGAAGTCTTGTTTAATAACTGTCAAGCTGGTAAAAATACAAGCAAAAAAAAAAAAATCAATACCTCTTTTTCCCCCCCCCCCCCAGAATATATGTGCCTGTCAATCTCAGCAGCATCTATCTACAGAAATTAACAATCTGACCCCAAATTTTTTTGCACAAAGTGTATCATTACGCTACCCAGTTCTGCAACCAAAAAGCCTTTAGGTCTTCATTTAATTTCTTTGGCGAAGGAGCCCCTAGGCGTACGTACGGCAAATGCCAATTTTCTTTCTTAGAGGACAAAGACCATCCTGAGGAATGAAGGATGGTGTCCCTCAGTTCTGATGTCACACAGCCAGGGAAGCCACTGATGACGGTGATTTCAGACTCCAACCTCTCTGTAAACTCCAAAGGGAGATTATTGTGTGTAGAGAGAATTAAGGGAATGCCAAGGTGAAACATGAGAAAATGAAAATCAAATCCCTACCCAGCTTCTTCTTTCTGAGATATGGGTTATAAACCTCCCCACTGTAATGGCCATGACTAGTCTAATTTCTTCTACTGGAAAACTGTGATTAGACACTTTTGCTCATTAGGTTTACAAATTAAGATTACAGCAAAGTCTCGGGAGGGATAAGGAGAATAATTTGCTAAAAAAATCCTCAACTACCTTATTTGCTTGGAATTGTCCCAAAAGGAACAATATCTGTGTTCACAGAAAAGAAGCAATAGCCATTAGTTGAGTTTTATATGACACTAAGCATTACTGTTACCTAGCTCAGGATCTCAGATCATTCTCTCAATTTGTTTAAACTAAACACAGACATATCAATTTAGATTTTGTGACTGATACCAATAGAAATATTTCACTGCTGTAATTACACAAATATAAACAGACAGAATTGCACTACCCAGACTGGGATAAACCTACGGCTAAACAGTGTCTGAAAGAACACCTAGACACAACTGGAACCAGAGTCACTGATTAAGAAAGCTAAAGCCTGGAAGGAAGGGATTTAGCCTGGAGGTCACCTGGTCCAACTCTCTGCTCCAAGCGGGGTCAAATCGGAAGCTATGGTCCTTTACCTTCTTCCAGAGGTGTTACATGCACATGCAGACCCCCACATCCTGCCCTGGCCGCCTTACAGAGAGCTCTGGCTCATTTCTAAGCTTTATCGGAGCTCTGGCTTCTCACCCACCCACTCTTCTTGAGATTAACCTATTAAACCTATTCAACTGCTGAAAGGAGTCTCAAGTTAAAGGCAGAAGCCTCTGTCAATCCAGACTTAGTGTTGGAAAACCAAGTTCAAGCCCTCTTCTACCTGTTAAGTAAGACAGACCGGAAAAGTAAGCAAGCTAACTCCTGTTACCCCCAAATAATCCCAACATGGGGGTGAACTACTGTGAACTATATGGTTTAAGCCCACATAGTTAACGTCTTGGTGCAACGTGTGGCATGTAGCACATTGCTCTAGCAGGCACTGGCAGGGTGAAAGCTCCTTCACACAAAGGGGAGTAACCTCAGCAGGACGGACAAGGAAAACCCAGTCCCTCAGCTGCCTCTGCCCTTGGGTCTGGTCTCTGATCCATGACAAGGGAGGAGCGTGGCCCTCACTGCTCTCCACAGCGCTTTCCTCCGGGCTGGTTCACAAAGCGAGGCCGCGCGTGCACCAACAGCATGGCGGGCAGCACCCTCCCTCAGAAGGGCCTTTCATGTCCCTGGGTAAACAGAGTACCAAGTCCTACACTGTTTTTCTCAGGCAGACAACCACCTCTCATTGCTGATGAAAGAAAATAATGTGCTGTTCAACTATTTTGTTCTTTGTTCATTGAAAAATCTGTAAATTGAAAGGAAAAAAAATCAATTAAGAACAGCTTTACTTTAAGCACAGGCTTATTTAAATGCCCATTCCTACAGAGTCCCCAAAAGATTTCAAATATCTTCATGATGTGCTCTTCCTGAATGTATCTGTAAAAAAGAAAAATGTATTGTGACCCTTTCAAAAAATCTGTGCACTAAAATGGGCTAGAAAATGATGCAATATAAGGAGTCCGCAATTGAAAACAGAAATAACAAAAGATAAAGCTCTAGGCAAAAATCTGGATAGCTTTTACTTGCTCTATTTACTTTGTTTCAAATTGAACTTATTATTCTCATGACCAGTGGTCCAAAAATCATTAAAAATAACTGTTTATGCGTTACCCACGGGAGAGGGTATAAAAGGAGGCTAAAATGCTTTAGCTGACCCTCCCACCTGCTATTTTCTGGGGCATCTTCTCATTCATTTTTTCATGTTGAGGAGAAAGGCTCAATCAATTGTTCGACAACAGTAAGCAACAGTAAGCAAAGCAACTGTGATTAAGCCTTGTTTCCAGTACAGAACTCGCGTTGAAAAAACAAGTCTTTGAACAATAACTGATTGCAAAGATTAAAAAGGGTTGCTGTTTTGTGCTATTATAACACTGCATTGACTTACATATCCAAAACACTGTGCCTTCATATTTGAGGGGGAAAAAAAAGGATTGTTCATTCTGCTTCTACCTCTGGGCTTTTGTTTTTTCATTTTGCATTTAGTATCCAAGGATGGATTGCATGAAAGGAAAGAAAGTCCAAAACAGGCTTTTCAGTAACTATTAAATGAGCTAATTCTTCCGGTATATGGCCATTATTATGTTTAACTGCATACTTCAGGGAGAAACGTAAGTCAGCCAAAACAGGACAGCAAGCCAACTTGTTCTGGCAAAGCCTAAAACCTTCTCAGTTGTGGTCATACCAGAATTTATGGAATTTTTTATCCAAGATCAGCAGCCTATAAATCTAGGAGAAGGCCAGGGAGAGGTTTTCACTGGAGCATTCGGCTAGCATATACTGAGCTGCAAAGACTGGAGGAGAAGGGAGGCTTTGGGCCATGTAATAGAACTTGAAAGAAAAACAGCTTTGATATGAGCCTAAGACAGAGACAGCACAAGCATTTCAGAAGACTGAAGAATCCCTGAAAGAAAATAAACTAAATCAAAACAAACAAAACAAAGAAAGGGGAAGAAATTTTATCAAATCCCTGCACAAATGACTCCCCACCAACTGCAGAGTTTGGTTAGACAGAGGCAAAGAACTGGCAATGACAGATGTGTGAGGAGTGGCCTCCCTCCCGGCACAACGACTGCCTGAATGAATCTGAGCTGTTTCCGCTGCAGGTCATTTCATTTTCTCAAACCATTTTCTTGAGACCAATTTATGTACTTCTGGTCTCCAACAGTAATATGTTTTATTTGGCACCTTAAATTCAGTAACCACACATCATAAATTTCTTGCTAAACTTCAAACAGGAATTACATTGACTATCACCGAAATGCAAAGAAAGGAAGGTTAAACTGTATTTTCAGCAGAGCTTTGACCTCACCTTACGCTGTTAACTTGTTCTCATCCTAAAGTTAGATTTATCCCTTGTATCTATTGTAGAACACAGTATCAGCAGTCCACTGACTCAGGCTACAGTGCAGAACAGACAGAGAGCTAATGTGCAAGATTGAACGTATATATTAATTATCTGCTTTTAGCTAGTTCAGTTACATCTCCAAACGTGCCCTATGACTGCAATAAAAATATTGCATTAGTAATTCAAAATGTGCCCCCTACCAGCCTTTTGCTTTCTACAAGAAGAGAAATGATGTTGCATTGCTCAGCAAATCTAGCAAAAACTGCATAAGCTTTTGTGATTTATGCAGAAGCTTCTCAGTTCTTTATAGTGGATAGTAAGGACAAGGCAAATCAGGAAAACAATACCAGTATAGCTTAAAAAAAAAAATCCAGAAAGATTTTTGGTCCTAAGAAATGTGAAAATGCAGGAAACAAGGAAAATTGCTTTTTCAAGGTTGCTGCTGAAGGAACAAAAAGTGCACCACAGTATTATTCATATACATCATTTCTGACAGCAAATTAAATATTGTGGTTTTCCAAGATTTACCCATAAATAAATGATAACCTGGGGGCAGGGGCAAGTTTTGTGCATTACCAATCATACATTACTCTTCTGAACTGGAAAAAAACAATTAAAGATTTTGCTGAAAAGGAGTTTCTAACTCTAATATTCACCCCAAACATTTCTCTGGAACTTTGCTTGATATTTAACATTGCAACCTC